AAAGAACAAAGAGATTAAAGACTTTGAGATTAAGTCAGATGGAAATATATATTGTAAAGGAAGAATTGTAATACCTGACAATGACGACTTGAAGAAAGAAATATTAACAGAGGCTCATTGCAGTCCGTTAACGATGCACCCAGGTGGAACCAAGATGTATATGGATTTGAAGAATTGATTTTGGTGGTCAGGGATGAAGCGAAGCGTCACCGAATTTGTGTCTAAGTGTTTGATATGTCAACAAGTCAAAGCCGAGCATCAAGTTCCATCAGGATTATTGCAACCGCTTTTCATTCCTCAATGGAAATGGGAAAATGTTACGATGGATTTTGTTTCGGGGTTACCCTTGACTCCGAACAAAAGAGAATCAATCTGGGTAATTGTTGATCGATTAACTAAATCAGCGCATTTCCTCCAGGTTAGAACAGATTTCTCTATGGAAAAGTATGCAGAGCTGTATATTAGAGAAGTTATTAGATTGCATGGAGTACCTGTTTCCATAGTCTCTGATCGGGACCCTCGATTCACTTCTAGATTCTGGAAATCTTTGCATGGAGCGTTGGGGACTCGTTTAAACTTTAGTATGGCTTTTCATCCTCAGACTGATGGGCAATCAGAGAGAACTATTCAGATATTGGAAGATATACTGAGAGCATGCGTAATGGAATTTAAAGGATCATGGGAAAAGTATTTACCGCTGGCAGAGTTCGCTTACAACAATAGTTATCAGTCTAGTATAAAGATGGCCCCATATGAAGCATTATATGGAAGAAAATGTCGTACTCCATTAAATTGGTATGAACTCAAAGACCGAAGTGTTCTTGGTCCGGATTTAATTCAGGAGGTAGAACAGAAAGTTCGAGAAATTCAGCATAACCTCAAAGTGGCCTCTGATCGGCAAAAGTCTTATTCTGATCTTAAAAGGAAAGAAATTGAATTTCAAGTTGGAGATAAAGTGTTTTTAAAAGTGTCTCCATGGAAGAAGGTGTTGAGATTTGGTCGGAAAGGAAAATTGAGTCCTCGGTTTATTGGACCATATGAGATTGTAAAGAGAGTAGGACCGGTAGCATATCAGCTAGCTTTACCACCTGAAATGGAAAAGATACATGATGTTTTTCACGTTTCAATGCTTCGAAGATATCGATCGGATCCCTCCCATATTGTAAATCCAGAAGAGATCGAGGTACAACCGGATATGACTTATGAGGAAGAACCGATTCAAATTTTAGCAAATGAAGTTAAGCAATTGAGGAACAAGACTATTCCTTTGGTCAAAGTGTTGTGGAGAAATCACAAAGTAGAAGAAGCAACGTGGGAGCGTGAAGAGGATATGCGACAACGATACCCTCATTTGTTCGTGCAATGAAAATTCGAGGACGAATTTCTTAAGGGGAGAGATTTGTAACATCCTCCATGCCGGGTTAGTGATTAATTTGCAAAGTTTCAACATTTGGTAATTTAAGTATAATGATGGAAGAGTTTAATGATCTATTTGGGTTATTGGGTGTAGGATTGAATCATAAGAAGGAGAATTAAGAGGGCAAAAGAGTAATTGAGTAAAGGAAATAATTAAATATTCCTTAGGGTGAGATTATAAATCACGTGGGCATTTGAGATAAGCCTTCCAGACTTTTCTCTTCTTCTCTTCCTTCTCCAACCGCGTGAAGCTTGCAAGTAAAGGTGAGAATCTAAACCTTGGTAGTTTCTTTGATTTTTAAGATTGGAAATGAAAGTTTGGATGTTATAAGCTAAAGGAAAGCTTATATGACATTAAAACTACAAGATAAGTGTTTTAGAGATAGATTTGGAAAATGAGTTTTTAGATGAAATTTTGATATGGATGAGTTTTTGATGTTTGAATAAGATTTTTGACTTGTCAATAAGCTAATTAAGAAGTATGAAGTAATAGAATTGAAATTAGAACAAGTTGGAATTGGAGTAAGATTCTTCAATTCTATATGGATGAGTAGTTTTCTTAGTTTTTAGAGGTATTGAATGAATAATAATTAGTTTAAGTAAGTGTATGAGAGCTAAGAGTATTAAAGGGATTGAAATATGCATGTTTGAGTTGAAATGAGATGATTTCCGGGCTCAAAATAGAATTTCTGGGTTAGGGGAATCGGTACCCATTCAAGGGGAACCGATACCCCCTCAACGAATATGATTTCCAGAATGCTAGAGGGGAATCGATACCCCCAGGGGGGAACCGATACCCCCTCATCGTATATGAAATTCCAGAATGCTTGTGGGGAATCGATACCCCAGGGGGGGAACCGATTCCCCCATGAGAAAAAAAAATGAAAGAAAAGGAAGAAAGACTCAGCTATAAATTCCTTAAATCAGTAGGCTATTAAAGCTTAATTTCAAGACATAGACATCTGATGATCATCTTGAAAATTATGTTTATGTAGATACCGAGCCTACTCGAGTTCGAGAACAATCTACAAATAGGATCGATCGAGGAAAAAGCAAAGAAGTATAGGTGAGTGCATATGCATAGCATGAATATAGTATTATATTCAGTTCTAGACTTGTGATAAGTCTAGATTCCATATTTTGACATATGATCACATTCCATATTATGATACATGACATGAATTTATATTAAATGTATTACATGACATGAATTCATATGATATGTATTGCATGACATGAATATGCAGAAAAGTTATATGAGCTATGTGATAAAGGTATGTAAATGATATGACTATGTGATAAAGGTATGGAAATAATATGACTACGTGATATGAACTACGGGAAATGTATAAGCCCATGTTATGTAGATGAGAACTATAGGTATAGTTGGCATGCCAAGGGTAGAGGGTATACTCGGTTCTTTAGGACATATGTATATCCTTTGGAACCTGTGTGAAGTCTTGAAAGACACATACTTGATCCATAGTATATGTATATGATTCTTAAGGAATTCTATGTGGTCCTTATGGACATCATTATATGGCACTACGGTGCAATTCTACGGGCACTTCGGTGCAATTCTACGGGGCACTTCGGTGCATTTATACGAGCTGTGGTGACAGCATAGTGCACAACCTCACATTACTCAAATACCTTAGGTTCTCAATATGCTATCATGGGCCAATAAACTTATTAATACAGATTTATAAATGTTACAGTCATACGCTTACAGGTATGGATATGAATGATGTATACTACATGGATTAAGTACATGTTTGCATCTCATCTCATATGATCATGATATCTTCATTACATGTGCTTTATTATTATTGCCTCACTAAGTCGATGACTTAGCGTGTGAGTGTTTCACACGTAGGATCCGAGGAATTAGACGAGACAGGTGAAGCAGCTTGACAGTATTACTCCTGCAATCATCAGATCAGAAGCAACTTAATCAGTAGGTCATTTTGTGATGTAAATAGCAGTTGGCATGTAATTAAAGGGTTAAGTTGTGTATGCTCTGAATATTTTGGTAAACTTATATTACAGTATGTATATTATTGTATTTTCTTAATACAAGTTCAAATATTTTACTATTATTTATTAAGAGTTGTGTTTTAAAGTCAATGTAGTATCTCTGACTCATATCCGGGTCGGGTATGGGTTGGGGGTGTTACATAACTGATCAAATTTTTTTTAATTTGATGAATAAAAATATACAAATATAAAAGATAAGTGACAATTTCAATTGTTTACTCGATATTTTTACCTTATATAATCTTCTTCTCCTCAAACAATCATTTAACTTCAGTTCAAACCAAAATTTGAGTACGCAATGGAACTAATATCAAATTTTAAACAGTGAAAAACCAAACTTGAAAAGACGAAATGTTGGCCCAAAGAGAGGTCGAAAGCGTTACATAGTTCCTTACGTAATGCGTTCCTTATGTAACGCGGGCCATCGTAAAATCGGTCGTTTCGCATCTTCTTGTCTTTTAAATTGTCCCCATCATTTCCCCAACACTCACACCACACCACACATCACACATCCACTAAACTCTGCATTAGCTTTCACAGCTCAAAAATGGCGAACTCAGAAGTTGCAAGTATCAAGTTGGGTTGCAAGGACACCAAGGTGGTGTTTGTTTTTGCAGAGGTAAAATGTCATCAATTTGCGGACCACATCTTCAGGCATCTGCAGCAGAAGAGGTGGACCAAAAGTATGCAGTCTGCAAAAAGAAGACTGTTTGTTTTTTAACGTCTGCAAACTGCTAAAATGAACTGAAATTTAAATAAACTGATTTTTTAAACTTAAAAGAGTTTTACAATACTGAGATTTAAATAATTTTAGTTTTACAATACTGAAATTTAAATAATCCAAACAACTACAATAATAAATTATTTAAAATAAATCAATGCATATTTTAAAATAAATCAATCCATACTAATAAATTATTTAAAATAAATCAATCCATACAACTACAATAATAAATCAATCCATATTTTAAAATAAATCAATTCATACTAATAAATTATTTAAAATAAATCAATTCATATTTTAAAATAGATCAATCCATACTAATAAATTATTTAAAATAAATCAATCTATACAACTATAATAATAAATCAATCCATACAACTACAATAATAAATCAATCTATATTTTAAAATAAATCAATCCATACTAATAAATTATTTAAAATAAATCAATCCATATTTTATAATAATTTATTTTAAAATAAATTATTTTATAATAAATTATTTTAAATAAATTATTTTATAATAAATTATTTTAAAATAAATAACCTTATTAAATTATTTAAAATTATTTTAATAAATAATCATATTTTATAATTGTTCTTGAAGAGGTTTGAAGACCTTTGAAGACATAAAACCATGTCTGCACCAAGAAAAGCTCGCGCAGACGTTAAAAGAGCTTCTGTCTTCTAAAAAACAAACGGTCTGCAAAGCCTAATGTCTGCGCGTGGTCTGCGCGACGTAGACATAAGAGGTTTTAAGAGGTTTGAAGAGGTGGAACAGTGAAAACAAACACATGCCAAGTGTCGGCACAGGGACTTGGATGCATGGGGATGTCTGCTTTCTACGGTCCACCGAAGCCAGAACCGGACATGATTGCTCTTATCCTCCATGCAATAAACTATAGGGTTATCTTTCTTCATACCTCCGATGTTTATGGTCCCCACACCACTGAAATCTTTGTCGGAAAGGCACTCAAAGATGGTGTTAGAAATAAGGTCGAATGGGCATCTAAGTTTGGTATAGATTATACAGATGGGAAGTGACCTTGCTTATGTGAGGGCACTTGAAACGTCTTGGTGTTGATTGTATTGACCTTTATTATCAGCATCAGGTAGATAACAGGGTCCCCATTGAAGTCATGGTTTGTTTTTGTTTCAATTTTGTTTTGTCCTTTGTTATTATTGGTGTTATGGATTTAAATTGTGATATTTTGAATACCCAGATTGGAGAACCTTAATAAACTAGTTGAAGAAGGGAAGGTGAAGTACATAGGTTTATCTGAGGTGTCTGCATCGACTATTAGGAGGGCTAATGATGTTCATCCAATAACTGTTATGCAATTGAAGTGGTCATTGTGGTCTAGAGATGTGGAGGCAGATATTGTTCCTACTTGCAGGTTGTTTATCAACAAGACCTAATGATTTTTGTTAAAAAATTACTGATTTGGGTTCTTGTTTTAATGGGATTGTTTGAATTCTTTCAGGTGGCGTTTGGTTCGCTGGAATGTTTCTGAGGGAATTGAAATCTGTCAGGAATTGGAATCCAATTCCATATTTTGTTTGGTTCGCAGACATGTCAGATGAATTTGATATCTGTAATATAAAATGACATGATTACCCTTCTTGTTTTTTTGCTTAATTTTAGTTTGTTTTATAAATTACATGTAGCAATATATTATAAAAAATTTAAAAAAATTAAATTTTAATTTTATTGATTAATTATTTATTTCAATAAATTATAAAAATCATGTTAATAAATATCATAAGTTAAAATTATCCCAATTAGGGATGGACATGGGGCAGGTAGAATCGGGTTTTTGGTCCACCCGACCTGAGAACAACGGAACCTCCATCCGAGACCCGACCCGACCAAAATAAAGTTTCACCCGACCCGACCCGAATATATGAATTAGAAACCCGACGCGACCCGAAATAATAATAAAATATTTTTATTCAATAAAAACAATGACTTAATTGAAAAAAATATATAGAGAGGAGTATTATTGTAATTATTCCTAAATATATAAGGTAAAATTAATATTTTTCGGGTCGGGTATTTTTCACCCTAAACCCGAACCCGACCCGAATATCACACTTAAAAAAACCCAACCCGACCAAAATAAAGTTTCACCTGACCCGACCCGAATATATGAATTAGAAACTCGACCCGAAATAATAAAAAAAATATTTTTATTCAATAAAAACAGCGACTTAATTGAAAAAATTATATATAGAGGGGTATTATTGTAATTATTCCTAAATATATAAGGTAAAATTATATATATTTTCGGGTCGGGTATTTTTCACCCTAAACCCGAACTCGACCCGACCTAAATATCACACTTAAAAAAACTGACCCGACTCGACCAAAATAAAGTTTCACCAGACCCGACCCGAATATATGAATTAGAAACCCGATCCGACCTGAAAAAATAAAAAATATTTTTATTCAATGTATGAATAAGTTACCAAAAGATTGATGAGGGTAGTATGGTCAAATTTCAATTCCCTCCAACAAGGGAATTGAATTCCATAATAAAATGGATGGAATTCACTTTCCCTCATTTGATGGAAAGTTGAAGCCATGAGGGATTCCAATTCCCTTAGAAAACTTAAACCAAACATGGTGAAATTAGATTCCAATTCCCCCTAATTCCAAGGGATTCAATCGAACCAAACGCTACCTCAGGGAACTTGGGATTGGGATTGTTGCTTACAGTCCTTTGGGGAGAGGGTTTTTTTTCATATAGGCCGAAAATGGTGGAAACTTTGGGCGAGGGTGACTTCAGAAAGGTTTGTTCTTTGTAGATATGTTTCACCATTGCATATTTGTACTTTCAGTCATATCTAATTTCACTTTTTTGGTGTATATTCTTAATTGAGATATGTAATTAAGAGAAAATCTACATCTATACTGGCATAAGAAAATTAAGAATTTATGGACATGAGAAGAGTTTTTGTATCTGACATCTAGTATTTCCTTGATGCTTAAGTTGTTCTGCAACAGTCTCCTATTTGCTAGCATACTTACATTACTTGGACTTTGGGAGTGAGTGTTGGAAGGGTCATTTGAGGTTCATATCATATCTCCATTCCCACATCCGTAAAAGTTTTGGACACAGATACTTTAAAGCACATGAAGAGTTGGAGCAATGTAGGCATCCTCTATAACAAATACCCCTGGATTTTAGTTTCAAGGTGTCTAATTGCTAACCTCATATAAATTTGGTTTAACTAGATATTGACGTTTACTAAGTTGAAATTTTCCATTTAGTCTCTATCTATCATGTGGTAATGGCTGAGTAGTTTAGAACTGGAGTTCGATCATATTTGTCACATTTTTCTCTTTTCTGCCATTATGTAGTGAATCACATACATCAAGCAACCACCTAGTGAAACAAAATGGTGAGGTGGTAATCTTAGAGTCCTTTTCAAATATTTTTGTCAAAACTATATTTAATAGTAATGCCCTCAATCCACACATAGAGAATTTCTGAGGAGTCTGTTATCGTATATATGATAGTAATTATTAGCTTCTTCTTAAGTCTCACTATAAGCAAATCAATTTAAATTATCTGATGTGCCTTGTATTGACCTTTCTAAAATTTGTGTTATTAATCAAAGTCATGAGCTCTCTGAAATGTCTTTGAATCATACATATGTATTATTTATAAAGAATTTTGGTGTCGGTCATCTTTATTTTTGAACGAGATAATCATTTGAAAGAATGTTTGTTTGTCACAGTATCTTCCAACATTCCAAGGTGAAAATCTCGAGCACAACAAACGACTGTATGATCGAGTTAATGGGATAGCAAGAAAGAAGGGGTGCACCCCATCACAGCTTGCATTGGCCTGGGTTCATCACCAAGGGAATGATGTGTCCCATTATTGGAACCACCAAGGTCGAAAACTTCAACCAGAAGATCCGAGTTTTGTCCATAAAATTAACACCTGAAGAGATGGCGGAGCTGAAATCCATTGCTTCAGTAGATTCCGTGAAAAGAGACCGATATAGCATGATAACTCCATAAAAAGGTCACATTTTGGGACCTTTTCACTTAAGTTATCGAATGTCTAAGAGCTTATTTAGGACCATGTAACATGTGGTTGAATTCAGTTTGTCGCGGTATTCTAATTCGTCATCAGTGTTGCCTTATGGGGAAGGTGTTTGTCTAATGATGTGCAGGAATTGAGAGCAATGAAAGGAGAAAGGGAAATGTCGTGACATAAATAGACTGCTGAGCATAATGAAAATGCCGAGTTGGATTGGCATTTCAAAAGCGAGCAAAGTGTGAGAAGATATTTTTGAAGCCAACTGTCTCCCAATTTCACCAAGAGCGAGAAATCCACCTGGATTAGCACTGCAAATGCCCATGCTGGACCATGCCGCCCTGCTGCAGATGTCAGGTGCTCAACCAACCACCCAGTATGGGCCATTTCCAGCTGCCCATGCTGGACCACTGCCCAATCATCACGAGAATCAAGCAAAGTTAGGGGTATCCTAGGAATTTCAACACCAATTCCTAGGGTTTCTCTCTCTTTATATATATAGAGGGTGAAGCCAAAATAAAAAGAACTTTTGGTCCCACGCCTATTTGAGCTTAAAAGTTAGAGAGAGTAGGTCTTACTTTCCTCAGTCAATCCTACTTGCCGTGGCATTTGTCCTAGACAAGCCTAAGGGAGTGGCGTCCTGAGCATCCGAGAGGAGCCAGTTCGCTGGGAGCAATTCTTGGTGGCCGAGGGAAGCATTGGGCAGTGCACGTCGTAGGCTTTCTCTCCTCCCGTTTGTTCTTTGCTTTTATAGTTTGTTATTGGGTTGTAAGGAACGGATGAAACTTGCTTTGTGCTTGTTTATTTCGAACCCCACCATGAACTAATCCTATTTGGTGGGAGTTTGCTTGGATGTTTAAGCTTATATTTCAATGAATGGTTATATTTTTCTATGTTTTAACCTATTTTGTTTATGAAACTTAATGCCTTAAGGTTGTAGGAGCTACGAGAGTAACCTTTCCTTAGGAGGTCTTGAGGGTTCGAGAGAATGCCTTGGCAAATTATCCTTAGTGTTTGAGAGAAATTAGGGAGGAATTATATAAACAAGGGGTTCTAGGTAGTAACTAGGCCTAATCCATATTAGATATAAGGTTAGCATTTCATTCGACTAAAAGGAGTTGTACAAAAACGATATGTTAGGTGTTAGTGCTGCCACAAAAAGGTATTACCGAGACATATCCTGTTATCTAGACCAATAGGATCACTGCAGGGGTTTACGCCAATCGGTTATGCCAGAGCATCTTTAATCTATCGAGTCCCTTACTAGAGATAGAATAAGGCACCTTAGTAGACTTTGTCGGGTAGGCTAGGCATAGAAGAAATATCATTAGGAGAAATAGACTTAGATTTTCCTAGTGACTCCTGTCACTCATTCCCATAGCAGCTTGCCGTGTGAGAAAGCTAAAGTCCTATAAATCAAATCGTATATTTATATTTTATTTTGCCTTGACATTTCCATTTGTTTTCACTTATCACAATTGAATTTTCCATGACATTTCATCCAACTTGCCACGACATATTCAATTACGACCACACTACCACCATTTTATTTTCACATCATTCATTCCATTTTGCCACAACATTCTCATTTGTATATACTATCACTAACTTTACTTAGGTGACAAAGTAAAGTGCCTTGACAAACATATTTGATTTCCCCAATTCCCTGTGGAGATGATACTCAACTTATCACTGTATTACTTGTTCGATTGTGTATACTTGCACATATATCCATACCCATTTATAGTACTCACAAATAGCGGACAAGTTTTTGGCACCGTTACCGGGGAATTGGCAACTGGAAGTTAAATTGTTTTGTCATAGCATTTTTATTTTACTTATTTATATTTCTTTTATATAGTTTTACCCTTTATTTTTTTCTTATTTTCTTCAGGATCTCGTGGTGTATGACCAGAAGTAACCCTGACGAGCCATTAGAACCAGAGATTGAGAGGCTCTTTAGGAGAAGAAGACGTGCTCAATGTGCAAATATGTACCAAATCGGAAATCCAGGCATTGGTCATGAGGAGGATCAGAATGCCGAGGCAAATCCATTTGTTGGAAATGCACCCAGACCTCGTGCCATTCGTGATCACTTAAACCCGATTTTAGACGATTTAAATCCTGGAATTGTGGCACAAGAGATTCAGACAGCCTACTTCGAGCTCAAACCGATCATGTTCAATATGTTGAACTCCATAGGACAGTTTGGGGGCATGCCAAATGAAGATGCCAGGCAACATATTCGTAACTTCTTGGAGGTGTGCGATTCTTTTCGCCAACATGGAGTACACGAAGATATTCTCAAATTAAATTTATTTCCATATTCTCTGCGTGACCGAGCAAGGGCTTGGTTGAGTGGCGTTCCCGCGTGTTTAATGGAGTCGTGGACTGATCTGTGCACAATTTTTTTGCTCCGGTATAATCCTCCGAACATGAACACATAACTAAGGAATGACATTGCTTCTTTTCGTCAAGCTGATGACAAGTCGATGTATGAGTGATGGGATCGATACAAGGCATTGCTTCGTAAATGCTCAAATCATGGTTTTCAAGATTGGACACAAGTGGTGATGTTCTACAATGGAGTAAACGTGCCCATGAGGATGATGCTAGATGCCTCGGCAAATGGGACACTGGTTGACAAATCACCAGTAGAGGCATTTGACATTCTGGATAAGATTGCCACCAACGATTATCAGTTTCCATCAACAAGGCTTGGAGTTGGGCGAAAAATCTCATGGAGCTTTCGAGCTAGATTTTAAAGATTCGGTGTCCGCCCAACTTGCTGCTATCACCTACATATTGAAGAACTTGCAAAAGCCAAGTGAGGTAAGAGAAGTGAAGGCAGCTCATTCAACATGTTTATTATGCCACGACAATCACAATGAGAGTGAATGCCTGACCAATCAAGAATCCATAAACTTTGTAGGCAACTTCAATCGAGGCAACAACAACCCCTATTCTAACACATATAATCCTGGATGACATCAACATCCAAACTTTTTATGGGGAAATCAAGGAACCAACAGTGCACATCAACCAGCTCGACAGCAGAATTACAATGACTCCCAGAATTATCAATCGAATATGCCATGGCATAATTCTAACAAGGGAAGGCCATCTTCATCAAACACTAGTTCTTTAGAAGCCACAATGCAAGAGTTTATTGCAAAAACGAAGACAATGCTGCAAGATCATGCGACCTCCATAAAAAATCAAGGGGCCCTACTTCAGTGCCATAGTTCGTCGTTGAGGGCGCTGGAGAGTCAGGTTGGTCAAATTACCGCTGCATTACAAGAGTACAGACCAAGACATTTGTCGAGTGACACTGAAGTTACCAAACCTCATGGCAAGGAGAGCTGTAGTGTGTTAACCCTCCAAAGTGGTACATAAATTAATGTTGAAGACAAGTTTGGGGGAAGATCGAAGGATGATTCACCCCCTATAACTGTGCAAGCTGATCGAGAAGTGCTGGAAAAAGCACCAATAGAAGAGGATAAGGAAGTAAAGAAATTGAGGGGGAAAATAAAAATGCCAAGGCAACTTCTGTTCGCACCACGTCAGTACAGGAAGCCAGACCCCCACCTTTTTTTCCGCAAAAATTGAAGAAGCATAACGAAGATATCCAGTTTAAGAAGTTCGTTGACATCTTGAGTCAACTGCAAATCAATGTTCCTTTTTTTGAGGCCATAGAACAAATGCCAACATATGCTAAGTTTCTCAAGGAAATTGTTACCAAGAAGAGAAAAGTAGAGCAGTACGAGACAATTGCCACGGTAAAAGAATTTTGCTATTCATTAAGTAAGTTGCCACAAAAGAGAAATGATCCGGGCAGTTTTATCATCCCATGTTCGATAGGAGGCAAATTTGTTCGGAAGTCACTATGTGACCTTAGCTCAAGCGTAAACTTGATGCCTAAGTCAATATTCGTGAAGCTTGGGATAGGAAATGCGATACCCACATCTGTCATATTGCAATTAGCCGATCGTTCACATGTGCGTCCTGAAGGGCGGATTGAATATGTCATCGTGCGGGTTGATAAATTTGTTTTTTCATGTCGATTTTCTAATTCTAGACTGTGAGGTTGACGCCACATCACCCATCATATTGGGGGAGACCATTCCTAGCTACTGGTCGGATTCTCATCGATTGTGAGAGGGGCGAGCTGACCATGCGAGTGGCCGATTACCATGTTACTGTGAATTTCTTCCGATCTCTCAAGTACATGGATGATTCTGAAGAACTCTAGAGCATTTTTGAAGTAGATACAACAATTGCAAAGGAAACAGATCAATTTTGCCAAGATAATTTCATTCAGCTGGACTTAATGAAAGGTTATTCAAAGGCTTAAAGGCTGAAGAGCCTAATGCTTTTTCTATAGAGGAATAACAGGCTAGCTTCCTTAAAGCTAGCCCAAAGTAAGCATTTTGAACCTCTTAACTTTGACGAGTTTATTCCTCCTAAGCCCTCATTACATCATGTACCTACCCTAGAACTTAATAATTTGCCACAATATCTTAAATATGCTTATTTGGGTAGTAATGAAACTTTGCCTGTGATTATATCCTCTTCCCTTACTCCTAACCAAGAATCTAGTTTGTTAAGTGTTTTGTCACATCATAAGAAAGTGTTGGGATGGACGATGGCAGATCTGAAGGAAATAAGTCCAACTATCTGCATGCACAAGATCCTGCTGGAAGAATGCCACGACAAATCCATAGAGCCACAACGAAGATTGAACCCAATCATGAAGCAAGTTGTGATGAAAGAGATTCTCAAATGGCTTGATGCTGGAGTGATTTACCCCATTTCTGATAGTTCTTGGGTAAGCCCCATCCAATGTGTGCCGAAGAAGGGAGGCACGACCGTGGTGACAACGAGTTGTTACCTACACGCACAGTC